GCCACGATTAGAGAAAGCTTGCATGCAGCAACGAAGACCCAACGCAGCCAAAAAAACCCCCAAAAAACAAAAAACACACTGGATTTCATAGACTTAGCATCAATAACAGAATGTAAGCTATTCATTAATAATTGTTTACATTATTACATGTTAAATGATAATATTTGGATATATTGGGTTAAATAAAATATATTACTAAAATTAATTTCACCTTTTTTCTTTTTAAACGTGGCTACTAGAAAATTTTCATAGGTGACTTGCATTATACTTCTATTGGTCAGTGCTGCTCTAGAAGCAGGTCTAGCTTCAGATGAACCTTGATCTAGCAGCTTAAAAATGTCACTAAAGGCCTGATTTCTTTCCAGTTTGCTCTTCCATGGCGTTGGTTTCATCCTGTAGCTAGCTACTCTCAGTGTTGCAGCCAGCAACTCTTAGAGGGACCTGCTTCTTCATCCAAGAGTAGAGAGTCTGGGTATCAGAATCTTTCCCAGAAGGTCTGGGATTCATGCATTGGACTGGCTTAGTTCACATGCTCACCCCTGGGTCAATCTTGTGGACAGGAGAGACTCCGTCGATAGTTCACATGCCCTACTCCTACAGCTGGTGATAGAGTTGACTTCTCCAGTATCACATTTCTACCAGAACTGAAATCAAGAATGTACGGAAGGGAAAAGAATGGAATGAATGCTGGGGAAGCAACCAAGAAATCTCCACATTGAGAAAGAGACCACAACAACACAGTGTGATGAGAGAAGTCACAGAGGTATAAACAGATTGCCTGTGGTCTGTTCTTGCTATTGTTTCTGCTTTTTCTTACTCATACCTTGTCTCCTAGTATGCAAGGTTATCATTGATTGAATACTGGACATTGTATTTTTTTTTTTTTCCTTTTTTGCTGTACGCGGGCCTCTCACTGTTGCGGCCTCTCCTGTTGCAGAGCACAGGCTCCGGACGCGCAAGCTCAGCGGGCATGGCTCACGGGCCCAGCCGCTCCGCGGCATGCGGGATCCTCCTGGACCGGGGCACGAACCCGTGTCCCCTGCATCGGCAGGCGGACTCTCTACCACTGTGCCACCAGGGAAGCCCCTGGACATTGTATTTGAAAAATTATTTATACAAATAATTTGGGAGCTAGGATGATGTCATCCTCCACATAGGATTTTTGTTTGTTTCTATCAAATTCCTGGGGACCCTAGGAGTCTGGAAACACCTTACTCCAAATCCTAGCCTCAAGATTCCCTGGGCCACCCAGGCAACTTGATGGTAGTTTGCAAGTGTATGTGACATACCTTAGATTTATCCTTAGTCCCAGTTTGTAGTCCGTTAGGGTACCAGTTTAAGGTGTGTGTATAATTTATTTGGGTCTCCACTCTTGGTGATTCCTAAACTCAAACTTTTGTCTCCTTAACCTCATGAGGCCCCTAAAACTGCATTTCAGCCTCACAACAGACTCTTTGTAATTTGCACCACCACCCAAACAAAAGTTTCCCTTTTGCTGGGCTGAGTCCTATCTACTCCTGAGGCTTGGTCAGGTAATTCCTCACTATACTGTTAGCTTTTTGTTGCTTTTAAAAAGTTATGTCTTTTTACACCAAAGTGGGAAAGTGATGGTGTGATGAATTGGGAGATTGGGATTGACATATATACACTAATATGTATAAAATGGATAACTAATAAGAACCTGCTGTATAAAAAAATAAAATAAAATTCAAAAAAAAAGTTTTGTCTTTTTAAATGTTTCATCCTACTTCCTTTATTTTTAGCAATAAAGTACTTTTTAAAAATAAATTTACTTATTTAGGTCTTCGTTGCTGCGCATGGGCTTTCTTTAGTTGCAGCAAGGGGGGGTGCTACCCTTCGCTGCGGTGTGCGGGCTTCTCATTGCGGTGGCTTCTCTTGTGGAGCACCGGCTTCAGGAGCGCAGGTTCAGTAGTTGTGGCTCACAGGCACTAGAGCACAGGCTCAGTAGCTGTGGCACACGGGCTTAGCTGCTCCTCGGCATGTGGGGTCTTCCCGGACCAGGGCTCGAACCCATGTCCCCTGCACTGGGAAGCGGATTCTTAACCACTGCGCCCCCAGGGATGCCCCAATAAAGTACTTTTAAATTAAGGTATATACGTTGTTTTTTTCAGACATAATGATATTGCACACTTAGACTACCACATAGCATAAACATAACTTTTATGCACTGGGAAACCAAAAATTTCATGTTACTTCCCCCCACTCCCCTTTTTCTCTGACCCAACCGCATGGCTTGTGGGATCTCAGCTCCCCGACCAGGGATTAAACCCTGGCCCTTGGCAGTGAAAGCGTGGAGTCCTAACCACTGGACAGCCAGGGAATTCCCCTGTGTTACTCCCTTTATTGTAGTAGTATTTGCTTTATTGTGGTGGTCTGGAACCAAACCTGAAATATCTCCAAGGTATGCCTATAATGTTCTTAACAGAGTTTGAAGTCAGGGTCATGCTAGTCTCATAAAATGGGTCGGGGGCTTCCCTGGTGGCGCAGTGGTTGAGAGTCCGCCTGCCGATGCAGAAGACACGGGTTCGTGCCCGGTCTGGGAGGATCCCACATGCCGCGGAGCGGCTGGGCCCGTGAGCCATGGCCGCTGAGCCTGCGCGTCCGGAGCCTGTGCTCCGCAACGGGAGAGGCCCGCGTACCGCAAAAAAAAAAAAAAAAAAAAAAAGGGTTGGAATGTTCCCTTTTATCTACCGTATGAAGGAATTTGTGCAAGATTGATGTAGTTTTATTTTTAAATAGTTGCTGCTGAAGCCATCTGGACCAGGAGTTTTCTTTGTGGAGTTCCAACTTTTTAAATAGTTATAAAGCTATTCAGAATTTTTTTTGCAATTCAAAATTTTTATAGATTATACTCCATATAAAGTTATTATAAAACTGACCATATTCCCTGTGCTGTACAATATGTCCTTGTAGCTCGTTTATCTTATACACAGCATCCTACTTTTTTTAGTTGAACGTCAGAGAATTTTGGACTGAATTGCTACAGAACTCCTCACCAATGACCTTCGTATTACTAAATCCAATAATCCTCACCTTACTTGAACTTTCAGCAGATTTGATGCAGCTAATAACCTCTTTTTCCTTGAAATGTTATCTTCACTTAGGATACCATGTTCTCCTGTTTTGTGTTTTATTTTGTTTTGTTTTTTTCTACCTCACTGGCTGTTCTTATCTGCCCTTAATGTTGGAGTGTTCCAAGCTTAGCCTTAGATGTGTTTTCTCTATCTATACTCACCCACTTGTTGATATCCCAGTTTATTTGCTTGAAACAGACACACACATGTTCCCAAATGAATACACCTACCCTGGGAGCTCTCCTCTGAGTTCCAGATTCATATATCTAGCTGCTCTAGCAGCTCCATCTCCATTTGGACGTCTAATAGCCATCTCAAACTCAATTATGTCTAAAACTGAACTCCTGACTCTCCAGCTCCCAAATGCTTCATCTGTAGTCTTTCCCATCTCAGTTGATGGCCACTCCAGATCATGTGACCCCTATGTTCACCGTCTTCCAATGGCTCCCCTTTCCACTGCAAGGAAAATGTCAAAGTCCTTACAGTGGCATATAAGACACTACGCCAGCTCATCTCCCTCTTAACTCCAACCACTTTTCTTTGAATAACCCGAGTACATGCCTACCTCAGGGCCTTTGCTCTTGCTGCTTCCTCCATCTAGAGGAGTTATCTAAAGCCTCAATTATTCAAGTCCTTAATCAATTTAAAGTTAATTGCCCAATTTAAAGTTGAAATCACCCCTCCTTCCCTTTCAATACTCCCCGTCCCCTTTTCTGCTTTATAATTCTCTGTAACACTTATCGCCAGCTAACATACTTCAATTCCATATTTCTTTTTTGGGTTACCCCACTGAGGCTAGGAGTTCTCTTTGTTTTGTTCTTTGATGTATCCCTAGTGCCTAGGACAGTGCCAGACATATAGGGAGCAATGATAAAAAAGGATTGAATGATGGAATGGATGAAATATGTCCAGGCCTCGTGGTCCAGAAAACAAGGGGCCCAGCTTCCCTCTACTGTGGCTGAAGATCCCTCCACGAACAGCACTGAACTTCATGTGGTAGTTTTCATACCACTTAGAGCCATTTCTCACCATCTCCACCACTGACGCCACCACTCCCCAGCCCAGTGTAATGCACCATCCCCTCTTGTCTGGACTGTTAACAGCAACTTCCCAGCAGGTCTGCTCATTTCCTCTTTTTTTAAAAAAATTTATTTTTGGCTGTGTTGGGTCTTTGTCGCTGTGCGCGGGCTTTCTCTAGTTGCAGCGAGCAGGGCCTACGTTTTGTTGCGGTGCGTGGGCTGCTCATTGCGGTGGCTTCTCTTGTTGCGGAGCACAGGCTCTAGGTGCGTGGGCTTCAGCAGTTGCGGCACGTGGGCTCAGTAGTTGTGGCTCTCAGGCTCTAGAGCGCAGGCTCAGTAGTTGTGGCACACGGGCTTAGTTGCTCCCTGGCACGTGGGATCTTCCCGGACCAGGGCTCGAACCCGTGTCCCCTGCATTGGCAGGCAGATTCTTAACCACTGCACCACCAGGGAAGTCCCCGTGTGCTTTATATTTATTTTGTCTGTCCCCTCCTCATAAACTTTGTGAAGGCCAAGTTCCTGTCCGCTTTGCGTACTACTGTATCTCCCACGCTTCCCAAAATGTTTTTGTAGAAGGAAGGAAGGAAGTCCTTTGTTCAGAGTAAATGCACAGTGCAGGTGTATGAAGAAAATGATGGAAAGGAAGAAAGAAAAGACTTGCAGGCTGACTCCACCCCTCCTTGAAAGGGTACAAGGAAGAGGAATGAATACCCAGCAAGCAGCGCTGCCCCACCCCACCCCACCCCACCCCACCTCACCCCTCCCAGCCCTCCCGGCCCTCCCAGCCCTCAAGAATGTCAGTCCTGGTACAGCTCCACCCTCCCCTCACCAAGTACAAAGAAACCTCCTCTGCAATTAGTTTTAGTCTGAGTTGCAGGGCTTTGGGGGTGAAGAGCCTGCAAGATGACTTATGGGAAGAACAGACTCTGGTGTCCCAATCGCATGCGGCGTTTTGAAATTCACAGCCAAGCCTCTTTGCAACACCGTGCTCACCCGGGGCTAAGGTACTTCTGTTTCAGGCAGTGTGGGCTTGAACTCTGGAGGCCTGGGTGCTCCCTAATGCCACCTGCTTAATGTGGCCTTTGGGGTCTCAGCTGTAAAGTGGGAATCATGACGGTAATCACCTTAACGTGACGAGGCTCTGCACAGCTCGAGTTGTAACTGCCTCTGTACCTGCACAGGAGATTTGAATCTGGCAACTGTGTATCAGGTGTGACTATGTCCCTGTGTGAAGTCCCAAGGGAGGGGATCCATGTGATTCCCTCTAATGACCCTCCAGTGGAGAGGGAGGGGCTTTCTTCAGAATAAATACTAGATGTCAGCTTTGCTAGCTGATTATTATTTGTTTTGGAGGTTTGCGCACCTACTCGGAAGGAGTTGAACTAGCTGCTGGAATGATTAAGGAAGGCATTTTTAGATAAGTATTATCACACAACGATCCAATCAATACAGGCGACCGTGCAGAATCTGCTCGGGTAACACTGTGCCTCGTCATTTTTATGAGCATACTTTCAACGGAGGGCTGGTCCTGGGGTTATTGGCTGTGGATGTACTTCAGGCTCAGTTGCCTCAAGTCCAAGATCTACGGCATAGCAACCATTCTGGTGCAAAGCAAGACTTTTCAAGATCTTGTAAGACCTAAAGAGGAGCCATAAGGACTGTATGGACTATTCCTGGGATGGTTCACAAATCCATTTGCCTGTAAGCGGCGCCTCAGGTCCTCTCTGAAATTCTGGCCTAAACTTGTATCAGCTCTGTAATTGGTACCTATGGACCTACAGGGTGACATCCCTGGAATCTGGAAATCAAGCTGCCCTGTAGAAGTCAAACCCTTCAGGTCCACACATGATGGACAGGATAAGTTATCTGCACAAGGCCCCAGAGGGAACAGGATGCCTCCCTGCTTGGGCTTGGAAATGCGATCCAGGCATGCCTGCATGTGGAGGAGCCAAATGAAATCTCAGAAAAGCTTCTGGACAGCAGGTAAGTGGCTCCAAAGAACCCAGAAGGTACCACAGACCTTGGGCCTGTTCTGCAACAGTAACCAGAACAGAGAGGGACCCAGTTGACAAGGTATATCCCATACACCAAGGTCAGCCATCCTACCACAATGACGTTATTAACATATCACTCACGTGATTCCCTTTGCCCAGTTTCATGCTCACTAAAGCCTCTGATTTTGACTCCCTTTGCAGGGGACCACATGAATGGAGCAGTCACTATGACACCAAGTCTCTGGCCCTGTAGCACTTAATATTTCTCATTACAAATTAATAAATGGCAAATTTGACTAGGCCTCTTGTGAGTCTATTTTTTTTTCTCTGAACACGATCAACTCTGATTTTAGGTTTGCAAAGCTGATATCCAGACCTCACCCGGGGATGTGCATGCAGCCTGCACATGTAGTGGCAGGCCACCACACCTTCACCTACTTTCTTAATCAATACTTACAGACTACTGACCACAGCCCCAAATGGGAGAAAACCTTCCTGCACTGCAACCCTGGGCCTGGATGACTCAGCCAGCCTCTAACAACCTGGTAAATATATTGTTTCTTTCTTTTTAAAACATATTTATTTATTTTGGTTGTGCCGGGTCTCAGTTGCGGCATGGAGGATCTAGTTCCCCAACCAGGGATCGAAACTAGGCCCCCTTCATTGGGAGCCTAGTAAATATTTCTAATGGCAGCAGTGACATTAAGCGCAATTTCAGGAAATGGCGAGCCAGCTTACACTGCCCCAAATCAGGGTGCTTTTCTGGAGTACAGTCATCTACCCAATCATAATAATGCATACCAAAAAATAGAACAAAGCGCTGTCATCATGTCATTTTCTAAATGTTGCTTTGCACATGATCCAGCATCTAGTGATGGCATTAAACTCCTGCATACATCAAGGAGCAACATACTTATGGACTCAAAGATCCTTTCTAAGCAAACTGAGCTACATCTACTGGGCAGATGTTTCAGCCAGGACATTGAAAACATGTTTATGAAGTGTTTATACATCAGTAGGTTAAAAATTTTGTGATAGCCAAGTGCAAATTTAGAATATAATCTTGTAATTTAAAACTCTATTTTTTATCCAAAAAAGCCCTGTGTATAGAAAAAGGAAACAGGGATGAAATATATAGGATTAACAGTGAGAATTTGGTGGAAGGATTCTAGCCCATTTTTCACTTTTCTGTTTTTTTTTCAAACGTTCTGTGAAACTTTATTTTTATTTATTTATGTTTTTGGCCATGCTGTGCGGCTTGTGGGATCTCAGTTCCACGACCATGGATTGAACCCAGGCCCTCAGCAGTGAAAGTGTGGAATCCTAACCACTGGACCGCCAGGGAATTCCCAAATCTTCATTAATTTTAAGTAAAATACAGAATACATTCTAATTTTCTAAGTTACCTTTTGAAGAAACGTATGCAACCAAGATGAATGAAAACAGAGACTACTTAAACGTCTTAAGTAATTTTCCCACTTGTTGCAAACAACAAAGAAAACACAGGATCAAACATGTGGACTGAGGCAGGCTTGCAAACGAGCCAAAGACCTAATAAGACAGCCAATGCCAGGAATGAACTGTGGGGACAGCCACCATCAGGCCTGCTGACGCCATCTTGAGAAGCAACATTTCCCAAGAAGGGGGAGGGTTGGCTTAACCTGACCCACCTGTGTCCAGAAGTGTCATGATGATGGGGGACACGAGCAGATTGCCTTTGCAAATCCCCAGCATGATGCCAAATCCTCGGCCAGCACAAGGGTTGCTGTTTTGGTGCAGCCAGGGCGGGTATGCTTTGTCTTCCATTTCTGAGGACGGACCCCAGAAAAGCAAGCCTGAAGTCTCAGATTCTGGCACTGTCAAAAGCATAACGAAATTAAAGTAGTAAATCTGGATCCTGTTGGAGGCTCTCCACCATGCCAGCTGCCCTGAAATCAAATGAGTCTTGCGCTGATGAATACGCCCAATTCCCCTCCATCCCACTGTAGAAACAAGAGCGGCACTGACTTTCCCAACAGATGTTTCAAGCACCTGCAAGTTTCTGGAGCAGATTAATTCTTGCCTTTGCATCAAGATAATTTGCATTTGAAACCTACTTCCCAAAGGATATGGAGTTCAACACATCACTAACACAAACCTTTCTAGGTCACCCGCCCCTCCCACCTTTGAAAGAAACAAAGCTCCTCGGAAAATACGCCATAATAAGCAAGTTGCTTCAAAGTTTTAAGACATCGATCCTGGGCAGTTGGCTCCCACCCATACTTATTTTACATGAAGCTTCCTACTGCATGTGCTCACATTTCCTGAGAAAAGGAACAGGAAAGGGCTGGGCTAGCTTAATTTGACCTACCTTGTGTCCAGAAGTGTAACAACAGGGGGTCATGGTTGCATCACCTTTGCAAGTCTAATAGCCACCTCTTTTGACTTTTTTTTTTTTTGACTTTTCTTGCTTGCTCTCAAATTTCACTTTCTGTGAACAAGGCATGTCAACAGCGCCACCTCTGGGCGGAGTGTGGTTCCTCTCAGCTTCCTAGCCCAAAATCAGCAGGAGAAAATGCCCTAATTTGGGGGCAACTGATCAAGTTGACTTGTGTCCCCTTAGAGGATGAGTGGAATGGTGCACAGGGCCTCCTGGGAGCCATTTCAAATGGGGAGATTTTGAGATAATAAAAATTATCAATCCAGTGCCAGGGGACAAGCATACCTGGGGGTGCGGTTCTTTGCTTCTTGATTCCTGCTAGGAAAGCACACACAAGGGGTTCCCTGGGCTGATGGGACAAGTGACCTTAGGAGCAATGGGAGCTCTGCACCAATCCCTTCTCTGCTCCAGACCAACAAAAGCTGGACAGTAGGAATCACATTGCTCTTTGTACCACAACTTGTCTGGGAAAAAAGAGAATGTGAAGATCAGGAAGTTGGGTGATCAGGCTGCACTTGACACACACAGGGGCTCAGTAAACAGTCCGTTGAATCAGTGAACAAAGCTGCTGGGAGGAACTTGTGCCCTGGGGCAGCCAGTGCTGCAGCTCTCAGCCGGCTGTCTCCCCTTTTTATTTTTATTTTAAAAAAATTTTATTTTTGGCTGCGTTGGGTTTTCGCTGCTGCACGCAGGCTTTCTCTAGTTGCGGTGAGCAGGGGCTACTCTTTGTTGCGGTGCAGGGGCTTCTCACTGCGGTGGCTTCTCTTGCTGCGGAGCACGGGCTCTAGGCACGCGGGCTTCAGTAGTTGTGGTGCGTGGGCTCAGTAATTGTGCTTGCGGGCTCTAGAGCCCAGGCTCAGTAGTTGTGGCGCACGGGCATGTGGGAGCTTCCCAGACCAGGGCTCGAACCCGTGTCCCCTGCACTGGCAGGCGGATTCTTAACCACTGCGCCACCAGGGATGTCCTGCCTCCCCCTTTTTAGTATGAGTTCCTGGTGCTCAACCACAGCTCCACAGACCAGCCCCAGAGCATTCGCTGCCCCTTCTGGTGCTACAAACATCACCTTCTAACTGGGACTGTGAAGTCAGGGAGACCTCCTGACACAGGTGGGTCAAGATCCAAAGGGCATAAAGAAGCTGTGGCACATATATACAATGGAATATTACTCAGCCATAAAAAGAAACGAAATTGAGTTATCTGTAGTGAGGTGGATGAACCCAGAGTCTGTCATACAAAGTGAAGTAAGTCAGAAAGAGAAAAACAAATACCGTATGCTAATGCATATATATGGAATCTAAAAACAAAACAAAAAAATGGTTCTGAAGAACCTAGAGGCAGGACAGGAATAAAGACACAGATGTAGAGAATGGAACTGAGGACACCAGGAGGGGGAATCGTAAGCTGGGATGAAGTGAGAGAGTGGCATGGACATATATGCACTACCAAATGTAAACCCGATAGCTAGTGGGAAGCAGCCGCATAGCACAGGGAGATCAGCTCAGTGCTTTGTGACCAGCTAGAGGGGTGGGATAGGGAGGCGGGGAGGGAGACGCAAGAGGGAGGGGCTATGGGGATATATGTATAGGTGTAGCTGATTCACTTTGTTATACAGCAGAAACTAACACACCACTGTAAAGCAATTATATTCCAATAAAGATGTTAAAAGATACAAAGGGCAAGATCCAAAGCCTGACCCAGGGCTATCACGCTATGCGCCCCCGACAGCACGCTGGGACAGGAGAGCAAGTGGTCAAGCCACTGTTGCCAATGACCAGACACTGTTCTTGTACTTGAGGCGGGGTGGGGTGGGGGCAGGTGATAAAACACAGTGTTTCTAGGTACAACACATGGTGTTGCATCTTTATTCTACGTCTGATCATAGCAAATCTCACAAAGCCAGACTGCAGCCAGGCAGAGTGCCACGTGGCGACAGGCAGCCAGAGGAAAGGAAGACAATCTCTTCTGTTGCAAACACTGTGGACGGAAAGCACAGCCTTCTCGCTAGCCTACCCAGAGGCACTGAGGCCACATTCCCATCTCCAGGCCCCAGGGACATCCCTAAAGGGTGACTCCCATTTGGAGCTTCCAAAATCCAGGGCACCTCCGGGAACCAGTCCTGGTTCCAACAAGTCATTCTGAGTCCAGGCTCTCCCACTGACTGCTGCATCTGGACCTGGCGTCATGGCAGCTTGAGGGCTAAAAAGGGGCCTCAGACTGGACCAGAGCAGCCCAGGGGGTCCCGGGGCTCAGGACCGTTGATCCTTTCTGCGGAGCTTGTGTCCCACCTGGGAGCCCCGCTGGGCAGCTCTCACCAGGCCTTTGAACTGTCCCTGCAGCTTCACCTTCTTCCTGCAGGGACAAGGATCAGAAGGGTCACGTCTCGCCGAGAAAAGGCAGCCCCCCTTCCCATAACATCAAAGGGTGGTGTCCCCACCCCAGCACCAGCAGGAACAGGGGAGAAGGGGCGCTGCCAGGTGGTGGGTGGCACGTGATCCGTGCAGACCACACCCATCATGTTTAAAAGGGCAGTTCAAGTCAAGGATACTTGAAGGTGCATGCGAAAAAGTAAGAATAAAAAACCGGGACCCCTGGTGGCGCAGTGGTTAGAATCCGCCTGCCAATGCAGGGGACACGGGTTCGAGCCCTGGACCGGGAAGATCCCACATGCTGCAGAGCAACTAAGCCCGTGCGCCACAACTACTGAGCCTACGCTCTAGAGCCCGTGAGCCACAACTACGGAAGCCCGTGCGCCTAGAGCCCGTGCTCCGCAACAAGAGAAGCCCGCGCACCGCAATGAAAAGTAGCCCCCGCTCACCACAACTAGAGAAAGCCCATGCACAGCAACAAAAGACCCAACGCAGCCAAAAATAAATAAATAAAATTAATTAATAAAAAACCGGAAGAGACTTGAGCAATCGAGTGGAGAGTGTAACGAGCACAGCCCTCACCCCCGACCCTGCACACGCCGTACCTGCGGTTGAGCTTGGTTTTACTGAGGGGGATGTAGGCGTAGGGATCGAGCCGACCTTTCTTCTTCATGTCACCCTTTGCTTTCTGCTCACCCAGAGAAACAGAGTCAGCCAGGAGGGTGGGCTTCTCTTTCCACCCTTGCCCCTGACCTGACAGGCTGAATCCTCCCTTCCCTTCATTCTTTGCCTCAGGTGGTGCCAAAGAGCTTCTGCAGCCCTGGACAGCCATCCAACAAGGCCTGGACTTCAGGTGCTAACAAAACCTTTGTGTACCCCTCAGTGTGGCCTCAGGCTGGCTCCACAAAGGTGCCTCTCCAGGGCAGTGATGGGCACAGCTGCCCCGCACTTCCCCAGAGACTCTGCCAGGAGAGTCCTTGCCCCACCAGCAGCTCTTACCTTGGCCTTGTATTCGGCCCCGGGGGTAGCCTTCTTGGCCACAGGGCGATGGATGCCAGAGCCTCCCGCTAGAGGGGGAACACAGAGGCCATGAGTCAGGTAAGGCCAGGGCAATTGGGCAGCCTTCTCCCCGGAGAGCTGCTGGGGAGATGAGTCACAGCCAGGACCGAATGGTTGTCCCCTACCAACAAAGAACAAAGAGACCTTCCTCGAGAAGGGACTGTCCAGCGACTTGACAATTAGACCACCGAGCTCCTCAGACTGACCTGAATCCAGAAACCTACCAGTGACCTCTGGAAACACATATATCCTCGACTAACATAAAATACCTCACCCTCTCCAAACTAAATCTGCTCCATTTGTTCTGGGGAAAAGAACATAGGCTTTGAAGCCAGACAGACTGGGGTTCAACTCCCAGCTCTAACCGTAGGCATGGCTCTTAACTTTCTGGAGCCTCTTAAGCTTATCTGTAAAATGAGGCACTAAGGCTTGATCTCATTCAGGCTTCACACCAAAACTGTGAGTTAGAAAGGCAGCTCTTATCCCATCGTACAGACGTGAAAACTGCGGCTTCGAGAGATCGAAGTGCTTCCAAGGCCAGTGTTATTTCCAGCCCGGACTTCCACACAGTCATGGATGGAATCACATAGTGGCGACTAGGGAGGGCTCTCTTAGATGACCCAGATGAATCTCCTTTAAAGGTGAGAAACTAGAAGGTCAGAGAGGCAGCGTGACCAGGCCAAAGTCACACAGCTAAGAGCAGCTGGCCAAGCAGTCCTGAACCCAGGCCTCCTACTGCATCGTGTGGTACTACTGCTTCTGCACCACACCATCTCAGAGCAGAGGAGGTGAGCTGGGCCCTGGCCTGGGGGGCCACAGAAAGAGAAGGAGCCCTGAGGCGCTCCAGCTGGGTGAGGATGCCGTGGGGCTCTGAGAGCATACCTGCTACTGGCATCAGGGACCTCCCACAGGAGCCCCTGGACCTCCAGATGCAGAACAAGAGCTCTGCTTCGAGGGCCTGGGGGCAGGGGCCCTGCGGGGGCTGCCTTGGGGGAAAGGAGGCAAAGGTGAGGCAACAGAGGCCTCTCCTGGCTTTGGGCAGCCACCTTGGTGCCTCTAGCAGCTATTCTGGGGAAAGGAACAGCCTGGGAGCCCAGAAACAACTGTACAGGGGAACTCCCTGGGCAGCCCTCCCAACTGCCACCCTCAACATAGGTCAAATCTGGCCTGACTCAAAGCCAGAAAAGAGAGGCAGACATCTCCCAGGAGAAGGGTGAGCTGCAAAATCTCAGGAAAGCCTGGGTTGGTGGGGAAGAGACGGGGCTCAGGGGCTCCCCAGAAGGGCTGGGGGTTCTGTGCACAGATCTCCTAACCCCCAGGCTCTCCCTCACCCACAGACCCCCTTGGTCCCCAGCCCAGTCTTATGGGACATATCAGCCAATCTTTGCTGGTGCCAACTGAGTACAACCAGGCCATGCAACCTCTTGGCCCTGCCTGCAACACACCCTGCCTAGTGCAGGTGACAGGGAACCTGCTGCAAGAGAGGAGAGAGGAAGCCTCACCTTGGTACTGAGGGGGCATCTCCAGCTCCTCACTGTCAGCCTCTTTCTGCTTGAGCTTCTGGTGCTTTTTCTATAAAGAGGTAACAAGCAAAGTTCATAAACAAGAGGACATGATGATACTCACTAATGGTAGCCGCAAAAGGAATCGTATCCTGCGTTAGTAGAAAAGGTTCTCTGCCAAGCACTCGATCCCCCATACAGATGAGGACACGAAAGCTCAGAAAGGGCAAGTAACCAGGCAAGGCCACACTGCTCGGCAGCAGAGGCGTGGCTTCTAGCCCAGGTCCTCACTGCGGAGCTCATGTCGGCTGCTCCACTGCTAGGCCTCTCCACACTGAACTCCCCCAACAGGGCTACAGCTGCCCGTCTGGGCACCTTGACCTCAGTTTAGCCCAGCCTTCCTAACGGGGATGAGGTCCTCAGCCTCTCTGGGGAGAACAGCTTTATCGGTACTTCGTCTCACATGACCTCCACTGCACCCTCCCCATTAGTCAGACTCACTGATCTCTGACTAAGTGCAGGCCCTGGGGATACAGGGGACAAGACCCATTTCCTGTGCTCCTGGGGCCCTCAGGCAGGTGGGAGACCCCTGCTCAAGTCAGTCATCACAGTCGCTCAACAATGCTACCGTCCCCGGAGTTGTAAGCACGAGGCAAATGCTACTCGCCAGGCACCGTGCTGGGAGCTCCAAGAGGGAGAGGTGGGCCTGACAGCAGCCCAGCCCACCAGGAGATCTGAGCCCGGAAACTGACAACCAGGCAAGGTGGAGGGCTGTTGTGTGGGGAGACCTGAGCTCGCAGGGCTGGCTGCCCCACAGTGTCTCTCCCACACTGCCTGGGAAGCCTGTTCAAACTACAGATTCCTGAGGCTAAATCTCCCCAGGGACCCAGGGCACCTGAGGGGCATTCACTGGCTTAGGGGCCAGATAGAAGAGAAGGTGTGCCAGGTAAAGGGAATGAGGCTGCAGCACACACAAGTGTGTCTGGGGAACCAGGACATCCAGTTTTGTTAGTTGAGACCCAGCAGAAGGGGCTCCTCATGGAGAAACAGAAACGGGCTGGAAATGTGGTTGTGGCCGCATCATGGAGGTGACGGCTCAGTTTGTTCTTGGTTCAGCTGGCACCTGGCAACAGTTCTGCCCACTGGCAACTGCAGCTGGCATTTTATGCTCCCACGACTGAGGGCAGGGGAGTGAGACTAAGCAACTGTTACGCAAAAAAGCCCCCAGGGAGGGCTTCCCTGGTGGCGCAGTGGTTGAGAGCCCGCCCGCCGATGCAGGGGACACGGGTCCGTGCCCCGGTCCGGGAAGATCCCACATGCCGTGGAGCGGCTGGGCCCGTGAGCCATGGCCACTGAGCCTGCGCGTCTGGAGCCTGTGCTCCACAACGGGAGAGGCCACAACAGTGAGAGGCCCGCATACCGCAAAAAAAAAAAAAAAAAGCCCCCAGGGATCCCAATGGCAGGTGATGGATGCCATGAGCCAACCGGGAGCGTGGCCACCCTGGGACCCTCTCGGTGCCGTGAGACAAGGTGCCCCAGCCCTGCTCTGCTGACTGGGGGCCATCCTTTCACAGCCGCAGTCAGTTCCCCTGGCCAGGAACAAGGGTAGGCTGCAGAGGGACTGCAAAGCCCCCTGTGAGGATGTGCTCAAGGAATCAGGCAGGCTTCAGCCAGAAAAAGATTTCCGGGAAAAATGTAATAATGATGATGATGGTGACAACGATGAACAGCCACCACTTCCTTAGTGTGACTAAGTGCCACACATTTTACATATAAGCTGGGATTTGAGTTCAGTCTGGGGCCAGAGACATGCACTTTTAACAACGCCTGTGGCCTCAGGCAGGCTGCGGATGATAGAGTCCCCACCTCCTGGGAGGATTAGTGAGGTGACACATGGGACCCTCAGCACTCCTCAGTGGTGGGTGCCCCTCCCCCAAGTGGAGGCAGCCCCTGGCAACATGCAGGCCGGCTGTTGCCCCTGCTGCCTGCACAGCACATGCCCTCGGTGGAGAGACAAGGGACCGTCTCTTTCTTCCTTCAGCTGGACAATACAGCCAACACCGAAGGAGGCACTGGGTGTTTCAGAGGGAGCCAAGCCCTCTCCACGCCCCACAGAGGGGTCAGCCGTGACATTGCATGCCCCGGGCTGCCTGCTGTGTGCCACCGCGAGGCTCCACTGAGCAGTGAGGAAGCAGGGCAAGTGAGTATGTGGGAGCGGGGAGACGGCGAGAAGCTATGAGGCCCAAGGTTTAGGTCTAAGGGCCCCGGCCCTCCAGCAGCAGGAATTACTCACACTCCTGACGCCCACGTCTTCCATCAGGTCAGCCATCTCTTCATCCTCCCCTGGGGCCAAAAGGAAGAGAGACCTGTGAACACTCAGGGAGCACCCCTGTCCTCCCAAAGCCCACAAAAATTTCAACCTGCCTCCTCCCAGCTCATCAGGGTGCAAGGGCTGCCAACTCCAGCCCCAGAAGACCTATCCCGTGGAAGATAAGACCCCTGGACCCTGCCCCTTCCTCCTTCCCATCCTGGGCCCCACGGACGACAGCCCCTCAAGGAAGCGGTGACCTGACTTCTAAAGTGAATACAGCTTTTGTTGAGACTCTAAGAAAGCCCCAGGTTTCCTGGGGAGCCAGGCATTCCCGCAGCCCCACATACACTCCACTTTGCTGGGAAGACTGCCCTATTCCCCTGCTTAAAAACCTTTCCCTGCATTTGTGCTAGGCATTGTGTGGCGATATAAAGAAGTATGAACCAACAAAAAGCATAGGCAACAAAAGATAGATAAACAAAAGATAGATTAGACTCGATTAAAAATGTTAAATTTGTGTATGTCAAAGGACACACCAACAGGATGAAAAGGCAGCCTACAGGATAGGAGAATGTATTTGCAAAATACTTTCAAAAGATAGATAAACAAAAGATAGATAAATTAGACTCCATTAAAAATGTTAAACTTGTGTATGTCAAAGGACACATCAATAGGATGAAAACGCAGCCTACGGGATAGAAGACAGTATTCGCAAATCATAGATCTGATAAAAAGTTAATATCCAGAATAAAGAAAGAACTCCTATAACTCAACAACAAAAAGAAACAACCTGAGATGCAAGAGGGACGGGATATGGTGACATATGTATACGTATTGCTGATTCACTTTGTTATACAGCAGATACTAACACAACAATGTAAAGCAATTATACTCTAATAAAGATGTTAAAAAAAAAAACCAATTCAAAAATGGGAAAAGGACTTGAGTAGACATTTCTCCAAAAAGATAGACAACAAACATGAAAAGACGCTAAACATCACTAATCATTAGGGAAATGCAAACAAAACTACCATGAAATACCACTTTACACACATTAGGATGGCTACTATCTATGAAACAGAAAACAGCAAGGGTTGGAGAGGGTGTGGAGCAATTGAAACCCTTCTGTCCTGCTGGTGGGAATGTAAAATAGTGTAGCCACCATGGAAAACAGTAGGGCAGTTCCTCAAAAAATTGAAGACAGAACTACCACATGATCTAGCAATTCCACTTCTGGGCATACACCCAAACGAACTGAAAGCAGGATCTTGAAGAGGTATTTGTATATTTATGTTCATAGCAGCACTATTCACAATAGTCAAAAAGTGGAAGAAAAAAAAACAAAAAAAAGTGGAAGCAACCCAAATGTCCACTGATGGATGATGGACAAACAAAATGTGGTCTAGATATACAACAGAATAAGGCAAGCTTTAAAAAGGAAGGAAATTCTGACACAAGCTACAACACGGATAAACCTTGAGAACATTATGCTAAGTGAAATAAACCAGACACAAAAGCACAGATACTGAATGATTCCACTTATATGAGGAACCTCGACTCATATTCAAATTCACATTCATACAGACAGAAAGCAGAATGGTGGCTGTCAGGGGCTGGAGGAGGGGGAAATGGGGAGTTGCTGTTTAATGCGTACAGAGTTTCAGTTTTGCCAGATGAAGAGTTCTGGTGATAGGTGGTACAACAATGTGAATGTACTTCACACTGGTGAACCGTACACGTAAAAATGGTTAAGACAGTAAATTACATGTTACGCATATTTTACCATTTCTTTAAAAAAGCTACCAGTATATTTAAAAAAATAAAGAACTTTGAAACTGATCAGCTGGAGGGAAGACAAACTGAAGTGAAGTCAATCAACAACCAAACGTCATAAGAAGCGTGTGACTAAGTACGGAAGCCTGGCAGTCCCTGGGCTTGTTGGGAGTTCTGAGGGAACACGGCTGAAGCCAAGGGCCCGTGCAAAGGCCACAAAGGACTTGCACTGGATCTGAAAGAGTGGAGAGGGGCTGGGAAGGTGGGGGGCAGGGGGCGGGTGGGCATTTTTAGCGTCAGGGTTCCATGCGCAAGAAGGGAGCAAGGAGACGGGATACACTGAGGGTGAGAAGGGGACAATGACGAGGCCAGATCTGGAAACAGTGTCACCACATTTACCCCCGGCACCTCTATATGCTGTTCAAGTCACCATTTCATCTTCACTATTACACCCGCTTTGGAGTGAGGAAACTGAGGCACAGAGAGGTTAAATGACTGTCCACAGTCACACAACTAGTAAGTCAGGTTGCAGGGGCAGCAGTGACAGCACTGGTTGAGTGGCTGCGGTGAGCAGGCGGTGAGAACCAAAATAAAGAGGAAGACATAAAATTTAGAAGACCCAGGCTTTTGTGATCTTACGTGATATGTACAGAGATACGTGAATACAGAGATAAATGCAGAGGGAACAGGAAAGACGAAATGGGACTTGGAGATGTTACACCTGAGCAGCCCCTGGACAACAGGAGACAATGACTCGGGAGAGTCTGGCTCTTTTCACCAATAAATGAGCTTCCAGGCCTCAGCCAAGTTTACGCTTGGAATAAAAAAACACAAAAATTTTCAAAAAGGAGGAGGACAAGCAAATAACCAGACCAGAACAGAATACAATAGAAGAGAGATTAACAGAGTGTATCACAGATGGTAAGAGGAAGTACTACTGCCTTTTGAAAGTTTTGTTTGAATTATGGAAGTACTGTGTAAATGCCTGGGTTACACCATAAAAAGATTTCTCAATGTGGTCAAAAGAGTTTGAGAAACAAAAAATTTGAGAAAGTTGCCCGAGATACAAGCTCCTTATATCTGTTTTTACCTATGTTTCCCCCCAGAATGGTCGCTGAGTGAATGAGTGAACAAACAAATGAGTGGATGAATGAGCAAACGAGTGCAGCCCTGGCCCAGGCCAGCTGCAGCTCCTGAATGGGCAGGTGGCCCCACCTTTAGCGCCTTCCTCTTCCTCCATCTTGGCGTCGCCATCCTCCTCCTCACGGATGATCAGCCGGCCGTCGGCGCTCACCTTGAAGCCGTGGTCCTTCTTCTTGCCCCGACCTGGCCCAGGCTGGGTGGCTGGTGGGGCAGAGTCGGGAGGTGAGGAGGTGGAAGGCCCGTCCTAGCCCGCTCACACCCTCATCAGAACCGACGAGCCTGGGTCTGTGACTTGGATGAGTGCCCGCGGCACTATGATGTGCATGTGTGGGAGGCCAGGGTGCCCGCGGGCCTCCCCAGAGGCCACTCCGCTCCTAAAGCTGGCCCAGGGCAAGCCTGTCCCCTGTGCCCATGGGCCAGCCGCTTCTTACTCACCCAGGACTCGCTGGGCCACCTTGGGGTCCAAGAAGTTGAGGGGCTCGTCCCCGCCACCCTCCTTCAGCCACGCGCGGCCCCTCTGGCGGGCCAGCCTCTGCTGCTCCTTGCCCCGACTCCTCTCCTCCTCCTCGTCCTCCTCGTCCTCCGAGTCAGCCAAAATCTCCTCGATGCTAAGGACAGACAAGCCCCAGTCAGGGCGCTCCAGGAGAGGGAGGGCAGCTGGGCACGGCCTGGGCAGGCTTCGGGCCAGGGGAGACCCGGCCCCCAGCGTCCCGCCACAGGTCTCACCTGTCGCCTTTGCCCCGGAAGGGCTCCTCCTCCTCCACCTCCTCTTCCGCTGCGGCCTGGCTCAGGGCCCGCTGTTTCCTGGCCCGGGCCTCTGCTTTCCGGATGTTCACCAGGACTTTCTGGTACTCCTCTGGCAGGAGCTTCCTCACCAGCTCGAACCTGAGGCCACAGAGACGGGCCGGTGAGGTGCGTGGGCCAGAGAGCGCTATCCAGAGCGAGGTGTCCAGCCAGAGCCCTTCCAGCCCCCCAGCCTGGCCCCTTCTCAGCAGCGGTCCTGGTGGACTGGAAACCCCTCGACCCCTCCCCTACTCCCTCCCAGTCAGGGCACAGACCCGAACTTGCGGATGAACTTGGTGAACAGGTTCCGAAGCTTCATGCGGAAGTGCCGCCGCATGTCGTCCGAGAGCTTCCCGATGGCTCCCATCTGCGGGGCAGAGCAGCGGGGCTTCAGGGGGAAGATGCGCCCCCTCACCCTGTCTGCCCCCCACACCACGGGTTTCTCCTGGTTCCACGAGTCCCTCCTACTGCCCTGCATGAATCTCTGGCTGGACCGCACTCCAGCCTTCGTGAGAAACACGTGGCCAGCAGGTACCATCTGCAGTGTCCCTCGGTGAGGCTGGTGGTGCAGGGCCCCCTCGATCCTCTGAAGGCTTGTATAAACCCCAGTCACTCCAGGACAGGTCGCCGCTCAGGCCGTCCTCCCCATCGCCGGCCCGTTAGGCGGCAGGGGCAGGCATCCTGACTCTCATCTGCCCCTTCTCGCTTTGACCCGACCCAAGGCCAGATGCAAAGATGACACGCAAGAGGGACCTAGAGCCCTGATGCGATTCAACCCAGCTGGAAGTGGGAAACTGAGGCGGCGGGTGCAGTGGATGGAGGGCTCACAGGACAGTCCCAGCTTGCTGCACGCCTTATGCCCAGCAAGAGGGGGCCAGGGACCCAACACCAGAGGGCTCTTCAGGCCCTTCTGCACCCCAGCAGGGGCATCTAGAGAAGCCTTCTCAAACCCAGAAGGTCACAGTGCAAGAGGGCAAATAAAAAGGGAGGTTTGGGTCCCTCCCGAGGGACACCCCAGAGTCGCAGTTCTGTTCCCAGGACTGTTCTCACTAGCACTGTGGCCTGGGAAAATCCCTGGCCTGTTTGCTACCCATAAAACAGGGGGTGGCCCCGCCCACCGCCCCTGCCCTGCAGAGCCCCTGCTGCTGTGGGGGGGCTGCGGGGGGTGACAAGTGGCAGCCTGGGTGCTGTGCCCCTTTACCTCCACCACTGGTCTCTTCCAGGGCTCCTGCATGACCTTCTGCTGCACAAGACAGCGTGTAGCCAGAAAAGTGTTTGAAGCTGGCTGGCCTCAAGGCTCACTGGGTCTCTGCCGGCAGCTCGTGGGCCACTATGCCACTGGCCGAGGGGAAGGGGACACTCACCACCAGTTGCACGTGCTTGGCCAGGTGTGCCATGTCCATGACGACCATTGACACCTTGATGAAGCCCAGTGCTGATCTGACCACGTCGCGGGTGCGGGAGGCCAGGAGCAGGCACACATTCTCCAGCAGCTGCTCCATCGTGCTGGCCCCCATCAAACCTGTGGTGGCCAGAGGGCCACTGTCAGAGACACCTGGAACCCCACCCAGACCTAAGACCCCTGCCGCGTCACAAGAGTGGGAGCTGACACCTGGGGGACACTTCCAAGTGCCTGGCACGTGTCTAGTCACTTTCTGCCAGCATCTCCTCTAGTCCTTCAGACACGCTGTGAACAGGTGCTGGTTTTCTCCTCCATTTTAGAGATGAGAGAGCAAGGTTCCAGGAGGTTCCTAAGTTTGTTCAAGGTGTCACATGGCTGGTAAGAGGCAGAACCGGGACGAAAATCTAGGCGTGGGACCTAACCTCCTCCGACCCACTCTGAAAGCGGGATACGGGCAGCTGTGGGATGAGGAAAGCCGAGCTGGGCAGGAGAGGAGGCGGGAGGCGGTCAGGCCTGGTTCCAACTCTTCGTCCTCCGTCCCAGGACCTTTCCCTGTTTCGGTAGCCACACTGTCCTGATCTCCTGGACACTTTCCTACCCCGAGGGCTTCCCAGGCCTTCAAGGAAATAGCGTTTACCTTTAAACTCGAAAAGGAGGTGGGTCAGGGCCAGGATACTGCAGCTGACCATGGTCACAGCGCCCACGAGACCGGGGTAGATCAGGACGAGGTAGCGCTGCAGGGCCTCTGGGAGGGCAGAGAGCAGGAGCTGCCCAGGGCAGAGCCCACCGTGTGTGCTGCATCGTGGGCCCAACCGGAAGGGGGGCTCCCACCAGAGAGGAGCAGCCCACCCAGGGCCAGCGCCCAGCAGCTCCCTCTATCTTTTCTCTCTGATGGGCGAGTGCGGGGTGCCTCCTCACCCAGGCCGGGAGAACAGCGCCCACCCCAGCCCCATGCCACCCGGGCCTCACCTGCCGGGTCTGGGCCAAACCGAAGGAAGGCGTGGCCCATCTCCACCAGCAGCGCAAAAGCATTCTTCCGAGCTCCCACCGACACCTCCTTGGTGCAGAGGATCACCTGCCCAGACAGCCCCGTTAGCACGGGCTCCCCAAGCTGGCCACCCCAGGGTTGGCAGCCTGAGGCAGAGCGTACGGGTAAGGGCACTCACGCTCCCAGACAGTGAATCCAGCCCACCCCCACTCCCACTACTGCCCTCCCCTGATCCTGGTAGGCCTTCAGGAGCCCCACTCCAAGGAACCCCAAATCACAACACACTCCCCTCCCGCACCCCGCACCTCCGGGACGAGGGCACTGATGAACTCCTCGTGCTCGGCGGAGAGCTTCCTCACGATATGTATGAGGCACTTCAAACGGGGCTGCGGGACAGGGGGACAACAGTCAGGACCCTCAGTGCCACCTCCGCCCCTGAAGTCCCTAAGCGTCTCCACGCTGGTCCTCTCCTGGTGTTGCTCGTCCCCCCTCGGGCAGAGCGGGGCCCCTGGAGTCCGCACCCTCTTGGCGGGCGAGGAGGTGCTCCGTAGCGAGTCCAGAAGGGTCTTCTTCAGGTCGTCCAGGTGGCTCTGCACGAAGCGGGCGCCAGGGCCCTGGGGGCTGGCGCACACCTCCTCCAGCACGCGGTAGGCCTTCTTCTGTACCCCATGGGACTTGCTCTGGGAGGGCGTATGGTAGACAGGGGTGGGTGAGAGAGGGGGCTGCGGGGCACCCCACCCTCACCCAGTCCAATAACATCCACAGAGCAGCCACGTGAGCTGTGACTGGCCCTGGTGGGGACTCAGAGAAGCTGGCCCTGCCCTCTGGAGCTCGTGACATCCAATGGGAGGGCAGGGAGAACACAGGTTAATGAGAGGCTGATTCTGGGCCAGGCAGGGGACGCTGAGGGGAGTGAAGCCTACCCAGCCCTCCATCCCTTCCGCTCCCCGCCGGGACACCTCTCCCGAGGTTAGGTGACTCTGCCCTGGACTTGTGTGCCTGCCTGCACGTTCCACCAGAGCACTTCTCACGCTGTTGGGTAACTGCTTATTATACTGTTGCAGTGGTGACAGTTTTCAGAAGGTCACGCAGGCCTGACTTTTGCCTGGTGGTTAGCCACAGCGTGCAGGGGCGAGCATGTCAGGCAGGGGACCCAGCATGTGCAAAGGCACAAAGGGGCTGTTATATCTGGAACCCTTAAAAGCAGCCTAATGAGGCCGGAGTGGCAGCAGGGGGATGAGGCTGGGTAGGATGAAGATCAGGCCAGGCGGTGATGGGCCTAGTGAGTGAGTCAGGCCTCGGCTCTACAAGAGGCATCTTAGCAGGTGAGGCCCAAGCATGGCCGTGCATTTCTGTCACTCTGGCACCTACATGATAGAGTACAGGGCTAGACAGATACAAAGGGCAGCCATGCCATGAGAAAGCAGATTAAAACCCGATCCTGGGCAGCAGCAAGGCATGGAGACAGGGCCCACGTCCCCCCACAAGTGTGGGCGTGTGGGGCTCCCGGCCGCCACGGCTCACCTCTAGGTAGGGCCGGATGGTGGAGTACAGCTTGCTGATGGCGGCTTCATCAGCGCGGGGAGCCAAGGCCACGACCAGGTCCAGGACGGACAATCTGCTCAGCGACAGGAAACCAAGGAGGGGCTTAGTGGAGGCTGGGGAAGGGTATGCACCATCAGTGTCCTCGTGTCTACTGGGTACGGGGGAGGTGGGAAAGGTCAGGGTGAGGAGGACAAGGGGCTCGAAGAAGCCCATGGACAATAATCACTGCCTGTAACCTAACTCAGCACTCATAAGGTACCAGCACTGTTCCCGGCGCTTTACATGTCTTAACCCCTTCAATCCTCACAGCAACTCTATTGCAGGCATTATCATCATGCCCATTTTACAGATGAAGGCACAGAGTAGAGTAGATAAATAACTCAACCAAGGTCACAGCTTATAAGGGGCAGAGCTGGGATCTGAATCCGGGCAGCGTGTCTCCAGGGTCCTCACACTTCCCTAGCAGACTACAATGGTGCCCCAGGATGGAGGAACTGGTCAGGCCTCAGGGTAGAGGTGGGACATTCAATATCTCAAGACTTTCCTAAATAATTCCAGACAGATACACAGAGCTTCTGCTAGACATACTCTCTAGCTCCCTGGGCTGCCCCAGCTCAAGTGGGGCACTTACCTGGTGAAGTCAGAGCTAGCAGGGTCCAGCACCTTCTCACTGGCTTTTTCCAGGAAACCATTCACCAACTGGCAGCCCAAAGGGATAAGGAGGGAGTTGTTCAAGAGAAAATACACAGCAGCAGCAGGTCACAGATTTGCACCCTCGTCTCTTCCCCCTCCTCTCCTCCCTTTTGAGAAGGCTCGAGCCCAGCCTACTGCTGGCATATGGTCTCCTGTTCTTCTGGGGGCAGAGGGCCAAGTAAGCCATGGTGGGTAGGGTCTTGACCTTTCCAACACCCCAACCCAACACTCACCCACCGGAGACTGTTCCTCCCCCTCCTCTACCAGGTCACCTGAGGCTCAGTAATGGTGAGGTAAGTTTTGATGGTTTCCAGCACGGCCCGGCGAGGGGCTGGGGTGTCTCCAGCTGCAACGGGCTGCCCGTACAAGTTGAACAGGATCGGCAGGAAGTTCTTCGCAAAGCGGCTCACTTCAGCACGGTCGGCCTCTGGCAGGAGGACCAAAGTTTGCACAGAAGGGCCAGGAGATGACCCTGCCTCAAAGGCCACTGTGGTTGCAGCCCAGAGGCATTCTTGTGGGGGGACCTGTGACAGGGTCATGGGTTTGAGGCTTTTCTGGGACAGGAGAGGCTGAAGCCAGAGCACAGAGGACGAGGGGCCACCACAGTCTATGGGGCCAGCCAAGTGCTAGCCCCACGTAAAGGCTGGACAACTCCCAGCAGCTCTCAGTACACTGAGAGTAAAGAAAGAGAAGGGGCCGTCTTCAGCATCCTACTGACTCCTCGGGTCCCCAGTGGACACTCAGGTCCTTGAAAAGCATTAGCGGTGGCTCAGGCAATGAGCTGGACAGGCAGGGTCAGGGGACTCGCACCATCACAGCCACCTTCCACCAGCCCCGACCCCAGAGCCCACACATACCCGCCTCACAGCCCTTGGTGATGAGGGTGCGCAGGGCCTGGCACACAGTGACCCTCAGGTCTGGGCGCTCGCTGATGGCCGTGCCCAGCGTCCGCGCCAGCCCTTTGAAGGCGGTGGCCACATCCGTGGGCCTCGTGCAGAACCCAGGCAGGAGGGTCCAGATCTGGGGAGGGAGGGGATGATAGAGGAGAGTGACGACCAGCAACCTGTGCCCACCTGTCCTCCTCACACCCCCCAGCTGACCCCTTACCTGCCACTGGAGCGTGTCGTAGATCTTGGACTCCACTGTGCTGCCTGCCTGGGCCAGGTCCATTGCTAGAGTGACACAGGACACAGTGTGACCCTGGGCACACTCCTGACTGACAGGCCTCATGTTTACCCAAACCAAAAGCCCAATGATGAGGACAGGAATATGGGCGATGCCCCTGCTCCACAGACGAAACATAACACTTATTATTAAACAAACACTCGTTTGTTCTAAAAAAATGAAAAGACCTATGTAAAACAGAAAGCGACATCTCCCCACAATCTCCCCCGCAAATCTTCCTCCCCATTTCTGACCTTCTTATATTTCTCCAAGCACGTGCACACTTTTAAAGACGTAAAAAGGATTGCCTTATAAGTATATTCTTCTGAAACCTGGTTTTACTTGAGAATAAAGCTGGTAACACTTATCAAGCAGTTTCGACATGGCAGCCTGTGTAATGCGCACTTACGTGATTATTGCATTTAATCCTCACACCATCGCAATTATCGCCCTCATTTTACAGATGAGGAGCAGACCCAGGGGAGTTGAATAAACCTGCCCGAAGTCACCAAACGGTGGAGCGGCTGAGCTGAGCTTTCAATCTAATCTACTCAGCTCACCATGGACTAAACACGTCCAATCCCCTATCGGTCTCTTTCCTTCTGTACAGTGAGCACTCTGTGTCCCATGGTGGGGCTTTATTATGACTGACTTCATTGGAGCCCCACTGAGGGATGTGTGGGCTGTGTCGGGATTTTTACTTGGAACATCTTTGTATATATAAATCGGTGTGTACTTGTCTAATTATTCCTCTGGTGGGAGAAAAGGCCCCTGTCTGCCTGCCTCGGGGCAGGGGTGCCTGGCCACGCCTCGGACCCCGCTGATGACGGCACTCAAGCACTGGCTGACCACCTGCTCGGCCCAGGGAGGCTGCCGAACGTCCTAAGGCTGGGGCGCTGGACCAGGAGCCCTTCCCGACCCTTCCAGTGAGGCTCCAGGACTGTGGTGGGCCCGTACCTTTCCTCTTCAGGGTGGTAGCCAGAGGCAGGAAGTAAGCGGTAAAGAAACCAAGTCGAGTTTCCCGGACATGGTCTCGGATGACAGGCAGCAGCCAGCTCCGAGGGAAATCCAGAGTCTCTCTGGGAGGAGGGAGGGGAGGCGCAGTGAGGAAGGGGTGACGGCCTGGAGCTGTCTCCCCACGGAGCCGAGGAACAGGACAGGTCCTGCTCTGGCCGCCCCCACTGACCCGCACGGCACGTGGAGACGTCAGCCGAGGGTGTGGACACCCTCCCAGCGGAGAACAAGCCATGTGGCTCTCCTGGGGCTGGAATGGAAGCCAAGCAGGGCTGCACTTACTCAGAGCCATCAATTTCCAAAGGCACAGCCTCTAAAACCACCTCGGGGCCCATGCTGGCCACGGCAGCGCCCACTGCGCGGTCCAGAGCTGCCATGTGGGGGGAGTAGGGGGAGAGGCGCAGGTCACACAGGGACTGGAGGCACTGGAGCAAAGAGACGCGGGTCAGACATTAAGACGGGCCTGCAGCACAGGCACCCATGGCTGAGGCTGGGCCAAAGTCTCCAAGAGGACGAGGTCGGGGGCGTGGGGTCAGGTTATGCTCTCGCCAGAGGTCACAGACCATTAACCAAATTCAACTCTTGGATGTGTTTGAGCCTTCCTCAATGCCCCAGGATTTAAAAAGAAATTCTGTATTTGTTAGTAAAGTGTAAAAATCAGGAGATTTCATATACAAATGCAGATTTCCGGTTTACCTTGAAAACCGGGAAGGTATGGGAAACGCAGACCCACGGTACAATTAGTATAAATTAGCAGGCACTGCGGAGCAGCTGTCCCTCGAGACCAGAGCTGCCTCCTCTGGTTCACTACAGCCCCTCAGAGCCCCTCTGCGAGCCTCATTCCTTGAGGACCTCTCACAGGAGCCAGGTGTTGCCAACCTAATCTAGCGGGGCCTGGGCCAGGCCGGCCCTACCCTCGGGGAAGGCCCCACGAGGCCGTGAGCTGCTCCGCCTGCTGGTGAGGGGTCTGTGCCCTGTCCTCAGGCTCCCACCTGCTCCTGGAGCTGGGGAGGATCTCCGGGTGATCCCTGAGCCTTAAATGGTTTACTCTGGGCTTTGGTAACCTCCCTGGGACCTAAGGCTGCTTAAAATACTATGCTCACCTGTTACAGAAAATTTAGAGAATTAAAAATTAAAAGATAATAGATAGGGGTGAGGGAGAATCACACTGGTTCCCTGTGAGTTTCAAAACCATCAACTCCAGCTAAGACTAGTGAGAAGGCATTAGGCGGTGGGGGGAGGGGTGGTTTTAGCCCTCTTCTCGTTCCTCCCACATTGGCCCAGTCGCCTTCCTGGGGACACAGTACTGGGCACCTGCAGTGGACCCTGGCAGTGGGGGAGTAAAGCGCAGAGGTAACGGAGACACGTGCCCCTCTAGCAGCCCCAGCCACCTCCTGCCCTGGCCCAGCCGCTGCCCCAGTCACCTTCCTCATCACGGGATGGGCCTGTCTCCCACACGCCTCAAAGAAGACACACAGCAGCTGTAGCACGGAGCTCCATGATGCGTGGAATCTGTATGTCAGGCCCTCCTCCACTGCCCTGCCAAGGGAGTGGGCAGTCAGGGCCGTGGAAGTCCATGGCCGGCACCAGGAACTACAGACCACGGCAAGGGTGAGGCCCCAGGAAAGGCCAAGGGGGAGAGCTAGTGTTTACCAAGTACCCCCCGTGCTAAGAGTTTCATTTATATAATCCTCACACTTCAAAAAACAGCTGTGAGCTAGGTTATTCGTTCCATCCTCAGATGGGGAAACTGAGGCTCAGAGGGACTAAGTAGCCCAGCAGTGTCACTCTTCTAGTGGCCAAACTGGGCCACCAAAGCCCATGTTGTCACTGTCCCATGCTTTCTCGGTCTGACCAGAGGTGGGAAGATGGGGTAGGTACAGGTGGACTGGGCAGAGGGAGGAAAGCCACAGCAGTGGGGAAGCCCGGCCGGCTGCTAGCCCCTTCCGGCCCAGGCACGCTGTGGTCAGCTCATCTCTTGAAGTCGAGCCCCAGAGGCTCTAGGCAAGAATGGCCAACAGGGGTTAGTGTGGGGAAAGGGGTGAGCTGGGGGTGGAGCAGCTCTATTCCTCAGTTTTCCAGAAACTTCATTCCAGGTGTATCCAGAAGAAACAGGCCTATGTCCTCATAAGGAACAGAACCCAAAGCATCACACCTTGGAGCTGAGCAGACAGACCCAGAGGAAACACCAAAGATCCTAGCCTCTTGGTGCTCTGAAGCTCCTCACTGGCGGCTGGAAGGGCCTGGGTGGCTGGAGGCCGGTCTGTGAATGGCTTCTCTTGTAGGCATGGAGGGCAGCACAGCACATGAGTAGAGTGGATTCTGCGGTCAGGCTGCCGCTTACTAGTTGAGTGACCTCAGCTTTCCCAGTCTGTAAAATGGGGTCAGCACCTATCTCCTAGAACTGTAAGGACTACCAGTAATTTCTGGTATTTATTGGAACTTAACTACGCACCAGGTACTGTTCTGAGAACTTCACATATATGACCTCATTCAATCCACACCTCCATTAGACTGATGTGGACCCTGAGGTGTTGAGAGGTGGAGGAACTAGCCCCAGATGACGGGTCCCCAAGTCCACACTCTTGAGCATGACACCATGGCACCTGGAGTGCGGCCAGTGCTCAAACCGACAGCAGCTGCTCTGGTAGTGTGCGCAAGGCCCACCACAGTGACAAGAGGAGTACCTGTCATCACAAGGAACTTTCTACAGGCACACCTTATTCCCTCCTCATACAGAGGCTGTGTTCTCACCTGAACATCTTGGCGACATACTGGGCAGGGCCTGAGGCCGAGGAGGTCACGGAGCCGATGTCAGCCATGTGGGGAGCGACACACTCCTTCAGGATCTCCTGCAAAAAGAGGCCACAGCTGTTTGGGCCCAAAAGAGCCCCCCAGTGCCACTCAGCCCTCCCAGGTGACTGCTTCCTGAAGCTTCTAGGAAGCTCACCCCCACCCTGAGAACTTCTTCCCCAGGACACAGCTGGAAGCCTGAGGTGAGCTCTGGGAGCTCTAAGGCTCTCTGCTTCCCTCGCTAAAGCTGGGCTGGGGCCTGAGGTACCTGAAGGCACTGGGTGGCAGCTGTCACCACCTGCGAGTGGGGGGAGAGGAGGCAGGTTGTCGCAGTTCCAAACAAGCGAGGGAGGTGGCCCAGTCCCAGGTCCCGATGCAGCCTGTCAACACAAAAGGCTTCTGTGGGGTCTGGCCGCTGAGCCTGCGTGTCCGGAGCCTGTGCTCCGCAACAGGAGAGGCCACAACAGTGAGAGGCCCGCGTAAAAAGAGTGACTGTTATGACGGAGACACAAAACAGAAACTGGGTTCGCAGGACTGAGGATCCCAGAGGAGGGGACCATTAACCCAGGTGGGGAGTAGGGTGGAGCCGCAGAAAGGGGATGATATCCTCTGAGAAGTAAACCAGCTGCACAGCCGGCAGCGGTAACAGGAATCAGGATGGCACTCGGGCCCCACCTCTCGGTGGGGAAGGTGCTCTCGGCCGCCTTGCTGCTCAGCTCCTCGGAGCTCTGGCAGGAAAGGCAGCAGCCCTGGCTAACACAGGCTGTGCTACCTGGCCCCGCCTTCACGAACACAAGAGCTGGTCTGCACACACTCAGTGCAGAACCCCCCCCCCCCCGAAAGCCGAACCCCCTACAGCTTCCGGCTCATGTCCCTCCCATCTGTACCGCAGTGCAGGGGGCCTGGCTGGAGGCCAAGGGACCGCCCTCCACCGCATCCCTACCTAACCAGGTTGATGTGGGCTTTCTCCATGACCTTCAGCCAGGCCAGCAGGGGTTGTAAGTCATTCTCGCTGGGGACGTAGTCGTACAAGGCCTAGGGGCGGGACAGGGGAGAAGCAGGTGACTGAACAAGTGCGTTCAGCAGCAGCCCAATGACACGACCCCTTCCCATCCCTAGGCAACAGCACGTCCCCGCGGCTGTCCTGTCCCAGGGCCTGCACACGGGCCCCTGCACTCACAGCCCCGTGGGCCTTCCTTTCCCTGCTCAATGAAGCCCTTCCGCTTCTGCTTCTATGGGAAAAAAGTCTCTAGGAGCAGTCAAAAATAACTTGGGTCACACAACCTTTGTGAACCTGACAAAAGCCAGAACCCTTCTCCGGAAAAATGTACGCGAGCATATACACACATTTTGCAATTTGGGGGGGGTTTGTGCCCCCTTCCCCAAATCCACCCAGAGATCCCTAACACTGAGAACCTTTGTTCAAGGTACCTGTTAATACCATGAGACCATGCTGAATGGTTTTTTAGGTTAACTACCACAAAGTCAAGAGTCAGGGCCCCCAGCTCCTGTGGACACTGATGTGGCTTTGGTGGCCAGTCTCCTGGCTGCCCGTCTACCTGACTCCTACACAGGGGCGGCCCAACCCGGCCCATCCAACCTCGCTCTGCAGACAAGTAACAGGGCCGCCCCCCAGCACAGCCATGTCCCCGTCCCCCCATCAGGCCTCACCGTGATGATCTGGGCGTTGAGCTCTGCTGGCAGGGTACCCGGGCTTGGCTTGGCATGGAAGAGGCTGTGAAAGGCCTGCATGGCACAGGCTGTCACCAGCTGGAGAGGACACGGAGGCTTAGTGGGGAACCCACCGCAAAGCCCACGGTGGCCCTGCGCTCCTCAATATCCCACTCCAGCCAGTGGGTTTGCGGGGACTTGGGCCCCCTGAACCTCAAACATGCCTCCTACACCTGGACACTCAGAGGACTGCTGCTTTATTAAGTCTTGGCAGCCACCAGGAAAAAAAATGATTTAAACAAGGACAATGGAGAAATGTGAACAAAATGTTTTTTTTAACATAATGGGCTTGGCTACAAATGGTTGGCATACTATAATTATAGCTGTATTTCCACGTTTTTATGTGTTCGCTTACCTAAAAAGAAAATGTCTGAAAGGATACACGGCAAGTTGTCTGTGTACTATTTATCTTAGGGAATGAGACTTGGAGGGAAAAAGAGACTTCTATTTTTTTACTTTATATACTTCAGAATTTTTTTTTCCTTTTAAACAATGATCATGTTATTTATATAATGAATGCTTTAAAATACATATGTGAACAAACAGTATAAGAGAATATATAGAGATTAACAGAATTGTGCTAGCATATCAAATGCAAGGGATCGTTTTTATGTATCTTTAAAGTTGTCATACTGACGTTATTAAGTAAGCAAAAAAAAAAAAAAAAGAGAGAGAGAGAAATAACCGTGTCTGTGGCTGGGGTAGAGCTCAAGGTAGGGGGAGGACTGATGCTTTACCAGCCCCGCCATGGTTCCACCCTCTCCCTCACCTCATCTCCCAACAGAAGATGCCCAGTCTATCCGACACCAGGGATGAGATGTTGTCCCTGGGTGTAGCTAAGAGCAGCGCGGGGGCCGGGAGACCCCGGCCCCTGCTTTTGGCCTGAACAGTGAGTTTCCCGAGTGCCAGCACCACAGGCCTGGGGTCTGAAGCTCTGCCCTCCCTCCTCCTCGGCGCATCCCCACGCGCCGGGGCCCGAGCTTACCACGTGGCTCAAAGTCATGACCCGGAGGAGAGTCTCACTGCAGCTCTTCACCAGGCCGTCCGGGAAGCAGGGCAGCAGGTCCCTCAGCAGGGTCAGCATGTGCAGCGTGGTGGTGGCCTCCTTGGAGCCTGGTGGACAGAGGGCAGCTGAGACTCCAGCCCACTCTCTGCAGCAGGCCCTGCCCCCCGCCGCCCACTCTCAAATGCGCTTCCCCACCTCCAGACTTCTCGATCTCCTGGATGCAGAACTTGGCAGTGGACATGGCAGCAGGGTGATGGGCAGGGGCCTTTTCACCAAACATGAATTCACTGCCCTTGAGGACGGAGCACACTCCATGCTGGGCAGCCTTCCGGATCTGAGGGGCAAGGAAGGGGGACAGGGCCGGGTCAGTGTTCAACCAGCAGTGTGTGTGGTTCTCATGACCACCAGTAGTGAGCACTGATCGCACACCTCCTACAGGGCCAAGGACACGCCTGGGGCTGCGTGTGTGTGGACCCCTGGGCTGCCGAGTAAGACAGACCTCGCTTTCCATTCCTGCTCTTCTGCTAACTCACCAACTGGCCTTGAGCAAACCAGACCACTTAGTCTCTGAGCTTCAGTGTCTCACCTTCACAACACGGATTCCTTCATTCATGCAATCGTCCAGCAATATACAGTGTCCACCAGTTCAGCAGTGAACCAACAACTCATTGGGAGGTAGGAAATAAAGAAACGTACACCAGAAGGCAAAAGTACTTTGCAGACAATAAAACAGGGGCTGTTACTTTTTATACGGCGATCAGGAAAGTGTCACTTCAGTGACATGACGTTTCAGCAGAGACCTGAAGCAAGTGAGGGAACCACTGGAGGGATACACAGGGAAGGAGGCATGAGCCTGCCTGGGATCAGAGCACTTAGCACAGGGAGTGACTCTTACGACTGTTACACGTTTCCCGCCCTAAATTTCAGGAGGAAGCAGAGTGGCCAAGCACAACTTACTGGGCACCTACTACAAGCCACGACCTGCAGCAGGCCTGTGGGGAGCACCAGAGTGTCACCATGACCTTGCAGCCAAGTTGTTATTATCATCCCTATTTTACAGCTTGGAAACCAAGACTCAGAGAGGTTAAGTAACTTGCCCAAGGTCACAGCACAACCAGTGAGTCCAGTATTCAACTCAGGTCTGTGTGACTCAAAGCCCCCCTCCAGCCCACTCTCCTGCCACTGTAACTAAACACGTCACTGAGCAATGAGGCAGCAGAGACTCAAATGGGCCTGACTGTGACCCTCCCTCCTGTAGGAGGAGCTAGCAGATAGGGCTTCAGGCAGGAGGAGAACCTCCGGACAAGAGCCCAGCACTCAGGGCGACCTCCCCAGTCCACTCAGCAGGCCAGGCCCAGCCCGGTTACTAGAGTGGCTGCCCCCTCCCACGTCCTGGTGCCCCACGGCCTCACCTTGGGCTTGGGGTGCACAGTGAAGCTCAGCAGCCCATGGTACACCTGCAGGGTCACAGGGTAGCTCCAGGCCTCCAGGTCCTGCTTCCGCAGAAGGGTGGCCAGGCAGGAGAGGACCTTCAGAGGAGAGGTAGTCTCTCAGCTCCACCTGCTTCACCCAGGTGGGAAAGAGCCCGGCTTCTCACCAACTCCAGAAAATGCCAAAGGGCTTTCTGAGGGTCCACAGAGTGCCTATACCCCTCCCAGGGAGTGTCCAAGCTGTAGCCAAATCAGATGGGCTCTGGAAGATGGCAGGGGGACACCTAGACCCAAACACTGACCCATCGGAGGGCAGAGGTGGAGCCACTGCTGGCCTGGGCTGACATGATATCCATGAAGGCTTTGGAGGTATCAGAGAACTTCTTAATGAGCACAGGGCTGGGCACGCTACAGGGAGAGAAGAAAGAAGGTCAGAAGACTAGAGGGGCCTCTGAGAGCAGCTGGTCTGGAGGAGAAGGTGGACAGAGCGGGGCAGCGCTGGCCCAGTCACTCCGCGAGCCCACCCTTTCTGACACCCAGTTCAGTGCGTTTCCATGGCACCTGAGCTCCCTGCCTGCCCCACCTTCTCCACAACCCGCTCTCCACTACCCACCAGATGGGCCCTTATAAACTCCCCCAAGTCCTCTCCCCACCTGCCCCCTGGCTGCAGATGCCCAGACATCGTGGCTCAACGCTCCACCCTGTCCCTCCTGCCCGACTTGCTGCACAGGGCTGCCCCTGCCCAGGCCCCAGCACTCACACTCTGTCCTGTAACATCCCAGGCCACCCTGGAGCCTGAGCCAGTAGAATGCCACCTGATACTTCGCATCTTTTTGTTCCTTTTAATAATTCCCTGGTCCTCTTCCTCCCTTCCACCCTCACTCCCTTCTTCCCCCTATAAGGAGCCAGGACTCACCGCTTCAGGACGAGGTTCAGCAGGTAAGCAACAGCGGCCAGAGACTCCGTGGACTCCACCGCTTCCATTGTTGTCATCTGAGGCCAGACCATGGGGTGTGAATGGGAAATGTGTCACGCTGGGCAGATGGGGTATGGGGGCACCGTGTGCCCAGCAGGACGGTTATGACCAAGAACGCTGGTGTCAGAGGTTCAAATCCCAGCTCCACCACTGTGACTTTGGACTAGCAACTTAACTTTTCTGTGACTCGGTTTCCTCATTTGTAAAATAGGGATCATAAGCCGTTGTGAGGTTTAACTGAATTAATATACATCAGACATTTAGAACACTGCCTGACACATTATGAAAACCATATAGTGCTATCTGCTTCGTTAGTCTAGGGCAGAGGTTAGAAGGCTTTTTCTGTGAAGAGCCGGATAATAAATACTTCAGACTTCGCAGGCCACACATGGTCTCTGCCGCGTATTCTTCTTTGTGTATTTTAACTATCTTGTAAAAATGTAAAAACCATTCCCAGGCCTAGGGCTATACAAAAACAGGCCACGAGTCAGATTATGCCCATGGGCTATATAGATTGCTGGCCCCTGTTCCACAGCAGTGGTTCTCACACTTTTACACCCTTAAAAAGTACTGAGGATTTCCCCAAAGAAATTTGGTTTACAAAAGTTATATCTATTGACATTTATCATATTAAAAATTAAAACTGAGAATTTTTTAAAACACACAAATATGCAAGCACAATTCCATGAGCTGTCAAAATGTCATCAGACATCACGTAGCTTCTGGAAAACTCCAGGGTACGGTCATGAGAATAGGAGTGAAAAAGGTAAATGATGGTTTAGCGTTATTATGGAAATAATTTTGACTTAACCAACCCCCAAAAGGGTCTTGGGAACCCCCAGACTACACTTTGAAAACAATTTTACTAGAGAATCCCCTGGGTGTAACTCAGTTTCATGGATTAGGAGAAAAAAATAAATGATTTTGTTTTACAAGAATAATGTAGCAAATCCCACCAGGCTTACCAAGCCACCTGAGAATAACTGAAGCGCTTTCACCTGTTTAAGGTTGTCCTTCTCTACCCCCGCGTGCAGGGGCCCCTGCCTTCTCCTTATAGCCTGAATAACATGCTACTCCGAAAGCCCGCCCACCTGCAAGTCACACCCACTCACCAGGGCAGCAAAGTACTCAGTCTCTGTCTCCTTCCCACCCTGGGAGCGTATCACCTCGGTGACAGCAGCCAAGACAGCACAGATCTGCACATGAGGGAGAAGGTACCTATGACATCTATTTCCGATCAAACCCCACCGCAGGGTGGCCTCTTCTCCTTCCTCCTTCACAAATTATTCTCCTGATAAAGCCCAGAGCAGACAAGATGAGCAGCAGCCAGAGCAGAGCCAGGGGAACACACACGGGGCCCAGCAACAGGAAAACTCACACATCTGCCCAAAACCCACCTCTAAGGCTCTACCCCTTATATATGGAAATACCTGCACAAATGTGTAAACATTCAAGCACAAGTGTTCACTGCCGCAACCAACTGGAACAATACAGCAGCCGTCAACAAGGGTTAATAATGTACTCACTGTGTAATAATGACAAATTCAAACACTATGTGACTATTGAAAATAATGGTGAACAACTACGTAGATTAACTCAGAAACACTGATCAGTGGCGAAAAAAGTTGTAGAATAGTATATATAAAATATAATGGCATTTCAGTAAACCTAAACAAAATGTGGGTAAAAAAGTCTACAACGGTAATTTGACAAGAGGCCACTGAGCACCTGAGATGTGGCTAGTGTGACTGAGGAACTGCATCTTAAAAGTTTTTAATTATTTATATTTAAAAACAAATACTTTATCCAGTTATTGGGAAACAGATTTAGAACTACTTGGGTATATGAATCTACTGTAAGTTTTATGAACTTTAAATACAAATCAAGTATTGCCAATGAAGATTTAGCCTCCAAATGGAGGTGTCAGACTAGACTTTGAAGACTTAGTACGATAAAAATAATGCAAAAACACCTCACTTTTAAAAATATTGATTATAAGTTGAAACAACAATATTTTGGGTATACCAGGTTAAATGAGATATATAAAATTAAGGTTAATTTCACTTGCATCTTTTTTACTTTTATTTAACATAGCTACTAGAAAATTTTAAATTATGTATGTGCCTCACATTACATTTCGACAGCTTTGGTCTAGAAAAGTACTGTTACTATTAACAGTAACTACCACAAAGGAGTTAAGCTGGGAGAACAACTTTCATATTTTATTCTACTCACCTCACTTTGTTATCATTTATAGTTTTGACATTTTTTCATTTAAATAATGAAAATATATGTATATATAATTTATAAACTAAAAAAGGTAAATAACATTTAGGTCTTGTTAGATAAAACATTTTTTAACCACTGTTATTCAGTATTAATTTACTCAACAAATGTTTCCTGAAAACATTCTATCAATATATAAAAAGGCCTGTCTTAAGTATAGTTGAAGAGATAAATGTTTGCAAAAAATGTTTTGGACATTTGAAAACTGTCAGGAAAATACCCTGAGGGACTTTACACTTGAGCCAGGAAGATGTTCTTAGAAAAAGCAGAAAGTGGAACCTGCCCTAGGAGGGGTAATAAGCAGCAGACACAAAGGGTAGGAGGGGAGACACATCATCCAGAGATTCCACCTGTTGTCACCGGAGAGCAGTCAGCTGGCCTCCCCTCACTAGCCTCTGGCTGTCCTGAGAGTCCCCCCTACCTCTTTGTGGGCAGCCGAGCTGGACTCCCAGAAGCGCTGCACTTTGCTGAAGGTGACGTTTGTGCAGTCGGAGAGGCCGCTCAGGAAGGTGCCCGAAGACTTCTCGGTGAGAGCTGGCGCCACCTCTTCCTCTTCCATGGCAGTCTCAGGGGCTTCGCTTTTACCCAGACGCAGGGATCCTGACTGCAGCTCATTATGCAACTTTACCGCATCAACTGTCAAGTCGCTCTTTCCTGAGAACCGGAGGCAAAGGGTAAGGCCCCCAACTCTTACCCGAACCTAAGAGAACAAGAACTACCCCTAGGAAACAAACAGGCGGAGTCCAGGCCCCCAACCAGAGAGGCTAAATTCTGAACGCGGTCTGCCTCAGCAGTCCACTGTACACCTAGAACTTAATCAGATTCAGAAAGGGAACCCTCCAGGTAAAAGTTTCGCCGGTGGGAGTCGGGTGGGGGCTGCAGTGAGGGGCCTGGGAAAGAGATGAGGGTGAAAGCGCTTTGTAAAGCGCCACCACGGTTAACTACAGGCGTGAGTACTGACTGATACTCGTGGTGCCCTAGCCTAGCCAAGTCATCTCCCTCCTGTGGAGTCAGTTTCTGCATCTCTTAAGTGGGGAGGGTGGACCTTTACAACAGGCTCCAGATCGGACATTTTAGGAGACGAAAGGTCCGATGCTTGGGCCCCACAGCCTGCAGAGAGGCTGAAATCCATTGAGACCCAGGCCCGCCCAGAACACCGCCGCAGGCGGCCCTTGGGTCGCGACCCTGCTACCTGAGGGCCGGCTGAAGAAGCGGCTGCGGGCGGCCTGGCGGTGGCGGGAGATGGCCGGGTTGCTGTCGCTGCTGTGGCCTTTCTTCCAGCGTTTCAACTTGGCCGAGACCCCGGAGGGCAACTTCCCCGAACGACCCATGTCTACTAAGCCGGGGGTGAGTTTAAAGGACCGGGTTCCAAGGGCCTAGTAGCACACGCAGGACCCACGTGGGTTCCCAGCCCGCTCCACTTCCTCTTCCTCTGGCGTAACTTCCGTATTCACGTCCGTTACCATGGCAAAAGAGTCAACATCCGGTTCACGTATTCTCCAGGCTCCGATCTGGGCGGGGCTCCGAGGAGATCAGTTCCTAGGAAAGAAGTGCCGGTGTTAGGGAGTCGCTGGGGCTCTTATTCCAGGGCTAGGGTTCTTGGCCACAGGAGTGTCTTTTTTTTTTTTAAACATCTTTATTGGAGTATAATTACTTTACAATGGTGTGTTAGTTTCTGCTTTATAATAAAGTGAATCAGCTATACATATACGTATATCCCCCATATCTCCTCCCTCTTGCGTCTCCCTCCTACCCTTCTTATCCCACCCAGGAGTGAGTCTTATAAAACTGGAATTCCTTTGCAGGTTAAAAAACAAACGTACATTTATATTATTTTTTTAAAAATCTAATTTCAAAACTTGAGCGTAGAAACAAATTTATTTGAATGAGTTAATCCTACTGCATAGCACAGGGAACTATATCCAATCTCCTGGGAAAAACCATAATGGAAAAGAATATTTTTTTAAAAATGGGGACTTCCTTGGCACAGTGGGTAAGAATCCACCTGCCAATTAAGGGGACACGGGTTCGAGCCCTGGTCCGGGAAGATCCCACATGCCGCGGAGCGACTAAGCCCATGCGCCACAACTAGTGAGCCTGTGCTCTAGAGCCTATGAGCCACAACTACTGAGCCCGTGTGCCACAGCTACTGAAGCCTGCGCGCCTAGAGCCCGTGCTCCGCAACAAGAGAAGCCACCACGATGAGAAGCCCGTGCACCGCAACAAAGAGTAGCCCCCACTCGCTGCCAACTAGAGAAAGCCCACGTGCACCAACGAAGACCCAGCGCAGCCTAATTAATGAATTTTAAAAAAAAGTATGTATGTGTATAACTGAATCACTTTGAAAGATTGGCACAACATTGTAAATCAACTATACTTCAGTTAAAAAAAAAAAAAAGAGTTAAGACCTGGCCAGACCTGAGGAGTGAAAACTAGTTTGGGTTGGAAAGAGAAAAAAGCAGGCAGTGATGGTCTAAACACGCTTAGCTATTTTCATTTATTACTGTGGATACCCACTTGCTAAACCACCCTTGCCTCATGATAGCACTCAATCCCACCTACTTAATATCCTCTTCTCCTAATTCCACTTCAGAACCAGAAAGCAATCCAGATTCCCACTCCCCTGAGACACTCCCCAGAATCCTTTAGCCAGAGCCCAAACTTTACAAAAGAGATTCCCTCCCCTCTCTTGCAGAGCAGCACTCCAAGATTCCTCCAGAATTCCCTCCCTCAATTCAAGTCAGTAAATATGATTTTGTCAGACTAACGCTTGATCCTGGGGCTTTTGGCTGATTAGGCTTTAAACATTCATTTTACAAACATTTTTTTTTAGCTCTCACTGAGTAAGACACTTCAATGAGTCCATCTTGTAAATGAACCAGAAGCTGACAAAGATTTTGCATTCTGCTTCCTTCACTTGATACAGTGTGAATTCTCCCCCTTGTTACAAAATGATGAAATGACGGTTTGCATCACCCCCAAATTCAAATGTTAAAATCTTAACCCCCATAGATGATGGTATTAGGAGATGGAGTTTTGAGAGGTGTTTAAGTCATGAGGGTGGACCCTCGTGAAAGGAATTGGTGCCTTATGAAGGAGATGCCTAGCCCTTTCCACCATGTGAAGACAAAGCAAGAAGGCACTAGCGGTGAACCAGGGGCCTCACCAGCCACACTGGCTCCCCTGAAGCTTGAAACCAGCCATAACTAATCTACAGTATTAGAAATCAGGACAGCACTTTTCATGGTGGTAACAGCTGAGAGGAGTGGGAATATTCTAATTTTTTATCAGGAGGGAGTTTACATGGATGTATTCACTGCGTGATAGCTCATTGAGCTTATAATTTGTGCACTTTTCTGTGTATATATTAGTCTTCACTAGTTTACTACAAATAAAAAGTCGTCCTTGCACACAGAGCAGAGGGAGCATCCAGACTGTTTACATGAGAAAGCGTCACTGCAGCAAAGGCAGTGAAGGCATTTGAGCATTGACTCAGCTGCACGGGTCACCACCAACTCCTCCCATCGGGCCCCATTCCGGGACACAGGCTGAGAGCTGGATTGTAAGTCTGAGAAAAAGGAACTGGTGGCCTGAGGAGGAAGAGGAAGACAAGTCTGGAAACTATTGAAGCAAGCCGGTGCTCGCAACCAGAGGCCTAGTTGTGGAGACAGTTACTTGAGAGAAGACAGACGTTAAGTGTTGGGTTCGAGTCTGGACTTACGTTCCACATGACACGGAGCAAGGATTTAACCTCTCTGAGTCTGCATTTCATATTCCGTAAAGTGGTAATAATACTACTGAACCCACTGGGCTACTCTCTCTGTGGTTTCAACGCGAGAGGTATGTTTGTCAAAATGCGTACAGCTCCGTAAATGCTGTTAGTGGTACCTTGTAAAGGGTGCCATGGTGCACTTTTGCCACCAGAGGGAGCTCTGCAAACAAGCAGTTAAAGCCAAAACCCTACCAGAGACAGCTGCAAACAGCAATAATGGCTGAGCCGCTGGGGTTTTGCAAATCAGATGCGGAGATGAAAAGGCCCAGGGTAGTGGCAACCTTCCTATCCTTTTCCTAGACAGCAGACACTGCGGGCCTGCAAACCGAGTCTGCGTCATGACTGGATACAGCCCCTGGATGAACCATCAACCTAGAATGAGCACTGGAGGTCCACAGCCTCCCTGCGGGCCCTCCACCCTGAGGCATCTGCTCAGGGCCTCCTCAAGAAGACATGTGGTGCCAGGAGAGGGGACAAGAGGCATCCAGATGGCCTGAGCACACTCTTTCCCACCCTGCACCCCAGGGTTCACCTTTTTGGTGAAGGACTAACTACCTCAACCCTGAATTCCAGCAATGTCTTCCACCCAGAGGCATTAGCCATCTCCATGACTAGCCACATATATATGGCTAATAAGGACCACTCACATTTGTAGGATGGGTCCTGTAGTCAGACCCTCAGGGTTAGAATTCAAGTACTACCACTTGCTGTCTGACCTTGAGCAAGTCACCTTACTCTCTGAGCCTCAGTTTTCCTCATCTGTAAAATGGAGATAAGAATGCCTACCCTGCCCATAGGGTTTATGAGAACTAAGTAAGGTAACACATGTAAAAGTGCTTAACACTGCCTTGCACATAATGAGAAGGCAATAAATGTGAGCTCATTATTATAATGCAAAACACTCTTCTTGAGTAACAAAACAGCTTCTCAGCTACTATCTAAGTGAGGAGGACAGAGCATGTGTCCTCACTTCACAGATGGGGAAACATGGTTCCAAAGAGTTGAGTGACACCCCTAAGGTCACACAGGCGATCAATGGGCAAAAGCTGGGAGATCCAACTGTTAGCCAAGGAGCACCCCCTGTAGCCACTGCTCTTAAAAGCCTCTTTGAGGTTCATGTGGAAGGAACAGGGCTTCTGTGTCCAAAGCACTGAGCCCAGGGCCAGCAGGAAGGCCTTTTTTAGGTCATTGGGGCTGTAATCTGTTATGACACTAGGCAGGAGGAAACAGAAGTTGCCCTAAACAAAGAGGAAGCGATGGTTTGGATGTTTGACTTAGGTCTCAAGCTCTGGTGGGGGGAGAAGGGCTTTGTCACCCTGGGCAGCCCATCATGACCCAGGCAGTGGAGTTGCAACTGCTCCAGAGCATTTTCCTAACTGCTGGAACTGTGTCAACAATCAGGCTTTGGGCTTAGGCAAGCTTGCATTTGGAACCACATCCTAGGTGCGGCTGGGGGCAGGCAGCTGACCTTTCTAGGCCACTGTTTCCTCATCTGAAAATGGGGCTGCTGTTTGGAGGCTGAAATGAGATCACACGTGCCAAATGCTTAGCACCGTGCCTGGCACAGGGGCATGAGTGAATGGCCGGGTGTACTGAAGAGAAAGTGTGTTTCCCTTCTGGTGTAGAGAGGACCGGTGTCTGCGCATGGCAGATGCGCTCTTGCTCAAAGGGAGAACTGTCTCCAAGGTGGAGTCCACCCTTTCTTCCCACCTGACAGCAGGTGTCCATGGCTGGCAGAAGGGAGTCTGGGTAAGGAGAGACAGTGTGATCACCACTACCTGGCATCCTGATTCCCATAAAGTCAATCTTGGACTTCCCTGGTGGTGGTTAAGAACCCTCCTGCCAATGCAGGGGACACGGGTTCAATCCCTGGTCTGGGAAGATCCCACACGCTGTGAAGCAACTAAGCCTGTGTGCCACAACTACTGAGCCTGAGCTCTAGAACCTGCGAGCCACAACTACTGAGCCCACGTGCCACAACTACTGAAGCCCACACGCCTAGAGCCCGTGCTCCGCAACGAGAAGCCACTGCAATGAGAAGCCCGCGCACCGCAATGAAGAGTAGCCCCCGCTCGCCACAACTAGAGAAAGCCCGTTCGCAGCAACGAAGAACCAACACAGCCAAAAATAAAAAAAGTAAAAAAGATTTTCATTTTGCTTCTCTGCCTCCCGCTGACTGTGAACCCCCTGAGGACAGGGACCATTCTGGTCCACTCTTTTTTTTTTTTTTTTTTTGCGCGGGCTTCTCATTGCAGTGGCTTCTCTTGTTGCAGAGCATGGGCTCTAGGTGCGCGGGCTTCAGTAGTTGTGGCTCACGAGCTCTAGAGCACAGGCTCAGTAGTTGTGGCGCATGGGCTTAGTTGCTCTGCGGCATGTGGGATCTTCCTGGACCAGGGCTCGAACTGGTGTCCCCTGCACTGTCAGGCAGATTCTTAAGCACTGCACCACCAGGGAAGTCCCTCTGGTCCACTCTTGTGTCACAGAGCCCACCACAGTGTCTGGCACATAGTAGGCGTGCAATACATTTATTTGCCAAATGAATACATGACATTAGCTGAGCTCAGCTAGAGGCACAAGAGAGGTTTGGGTAAATCTTTGGGGGGTCTAAGAAGATGTCCCCTCATAAGGGGGCTGTCAGAGGGCTATCGT